TTTTATTAGCCAAGTAAAGATTGCCTGGAGAGGGAGAGCCTGATAGGCTCATCTTGTCTTCTATCACTGTTGTGCTCAGGACTGTGAGACTGAGCTATAGCTTCAGCAAAAACAGGAGACAAATCAATTAGCTATGCCAGCCATGGATTTAGAGAAGTGAATGATGCCTCTATTAGTTTTTGGTCTAGAGAATTCAAAGGGTGTGTCAGTGTCATTCAAAAGTGAGAATAATTTTGAAAATGAAGTCTAGAGAAATTTCTCTAAAGATGAGTTCTTTTGTTGGTTCCAGGCCTTCTAGCGATCAGAAGTTTCTGTTCTCACCTTGGATTGAAATGTAAATTCTCTTTGCAGCTCTCTTGGGACAGAGTCTTGGTTCTATTTCACTTCTTTTTGTCAGGAAGAGGAAGAATATATCATTAAATCTGTGAATAATCTGTAGACACAGCTTACTAAGAAGTTTTATCATCAAAGATGCACAATCTAGGCTGCTTCTCAATCTTGGGACAGCCCACTCTCCCTTGAATATGTATCTACCTTCCTAAATAAATCTGTCTACACCTTAAAAAAAAAAAAAAGAAAGAAATGCAAATTTTAAAAATATTTTAAATATTTTAAATTTTTTAGTTTTAGGTGGACCCAATATCTTTATTTTATTTTTATGTGGTGATGAGGAACAAATCCAGTGCCTCACACATGCTAGGCGAGCTCTGTACCACTTGAGCCACAACCCCAGCCCAAGAAATGCAATTTATAAATGGAGGCGTGGCTCATATTTTAAATTGCAAGCTTTCTGGCCCACCAGTTCTTGCAGCATTGTCTTGCATTGAGTCCCCAACATGGACTCGCTGTTTCAACTAGGCATTCTGTTGCCTCAATATACAGTGCATACATGAACCCCCATGTCTTTGCTCATGCCATCCTTCCTCTTAGAATGTCCTTTTTTTCTTACTAATCAATTAAATATCCAACCTTCAAGCCCTGGTTCCTGATCTTCTTCCTTCTTGAAGTTTACCCTGGTCATTCCAGCCCTCCATGAGCTCCCCTCCCATACCATTTACTGTCCATATCACTGAAATGGGAGCTATTTGGCAATTTCTGACTATGATCACCTGAAGATCCTTCCCTTTTCCTTTTGATGAGTACCAAAAACCAGTTAGTACTTTGTCTTGCCCCTCTCTCCAGGTACAAACACTGAACTATCAAGTTTATTGAAGTGAACTGAAGTTTTTAGGGCCAAGAATCCTTCACATCTGTACTTCTCCAACTCTAAACTGCATAACAATCACCTGGACCTCAGCAGGTTGAGAGTAGGACCTGATGTGTGTTTCTAGCAAGATCCCAGATGATGTCGATGGGGTCAGTCCACACTTTGAGTTGCAATGCTTTGCAGGGCTTTTCAAACACCATGTGCCAAACAAAAACAAATACTGAGTGCAACCTCTTTGAGGTCTTAGAGTGAGTTTAGTGAGTCACAATGATATTTATTCAAAATGAATAGACATGAAAGTATTCAAGTAAGTTGCATATGGAAGGATCAGTGTTGTTTCCTGCTACTCCGTGTGTGTATATTTGTGAGATATATGTGTTGGTCTATGTAGGGACTGATATAAAATAATTTTATATAGTGGGTCCGAATGAACCCTAATATTATATACAACTAAAAAGAACTAATAAAAATTACTTTTGAAAAATCAAATGGGATAAAAAAACATTGAAGCTTTCAACATGCAGGAGCAATTTTCCAGAAGGTTCTAGCACAAGGAGGCACTGGAATGAAAGCAGAGAAGTCTACATGGAGGAACAGCTTTCTGGATCTAGTCTGCGGGCTTGCTCTGTGGTTCAGTTTATTTCCTGTACCTTACCAAGAGGCAACTATGAAAATTCTTTAGTGGGTGGGTGTTTCCTAATTTGTTACTGTATCATGGAAGGGATAATACCACTATTTCCTTCAACGTCAACTGCTAGTTTTAATAATTTTATAAACCCAGTAATAATATTCTTTTGAAGCTTGATTAGTCTCTGTTCTGTGGACTCTTAACCTTGAGACAAATTGTGAAAATGTGTAGGCCTTGGGGGAGAAAAGAAGACTATAACACATTGTTTTTAATAGATTGTTATAAATAGTAATTTCTTGCTCTTTTTACTTCTTCAGGGAAAGTGAGACAAAAATAATTTTTAAGGTTCAGAAAAATGAACCTTTTTTCCCAATGTATAGATAAAGCACCTAGGACAATGTCTGGACCAACTTAAAAAATTGATTCAAGCAAAGCTGCCACCTGGAAATTAACGCTGTAAGGATTTTCCAGGTGTCTTTTGCTTTGTACTCAAGTGTTTCTTATGGATTTATGGTATATAATTAAAAGATTATCACAAAAATTCTTAGTAAAAATTGTCATCAGGCTAAAATTAATATTAGATTTCTGTTCATGCTTTAAACACAGACTACAGATGCTATTGAAAAGACAGAAGCGGTGGTACACACCTATAATCCCAGCACCTTGGGAGGCTGAGGAAGGAGGATCACAAATTCAAGACAAGACTCAAAAATTTAACAACATCCTGTCTCAAAACATAAAAAGCACTGGGGGTACAGTGCTTGATATCACAGCTCAGTGATAGAGCCTCCCTGGGTTTAATCTTCAATCTTCAGCAGCACAAACACACACACACACACAACCCACAACACACACACACAAAGAGAAAAGAAAAAAAAGAAAGAAATTCAACGAAATGTGCAAATCTTTTATGTTTTAAAATTTTGTGAATCAATGTTATTTCAAATAAGTAATCTACTGGCTTCAATTAAATCTTATGGTGAAATGTTCATTCTGAGGTTAATTATTGGCAAAATATACTTTAAAAAACTTTTGACCTTGCAGAGATTTTATGTACCAAGAAGAATTATCATTTTGGTTTTAGTTGAACTTGAAGCTTGTTATAGCTTCCCTTGTAATCCTTCCAGCTGTGCTTTGAAAGCATTTTATAGTGAACAGATTTGAACTTGTCTGGGAATCAGTTCAATGAGTGAGATTTCTCTGGGAAAACTACTCAGTGGGTTTTCTTATAAATGCCATTGCTATCAGCTAACAAATACATTTCTTAAACTGAATAAAAGCACCTCTGTCCAAAAGAGGAAAGGCTAAAGAAACATGTATTAGGAAATGTAGGTTTAAGAAACAGATATCTTGAACATCTATGTAGAAACTTCCTTCCACAGATGTACTTTATTCTTTATCACTAATGCTAAAATTTCATGCCACAGGAACATCATAGCCTGTGTGGCTCATGACAAGGTCCCTCACTGCCAGAAGAAAGTTCTTGCATGCTCTACACACCTCTTCAATAGCACTTAGCTCATCATGTTGACATGACCCGTCTAATTGTCCATCTCTCCTTCACTGCCTTGGATTGTGGGTCCTTTGCCTCTGTTATCTTCAACTATCTGTTATCTGGATTAAATGGAGAAGAATAAAAAAATATATTTGAACAAAAATAAAATCGTATCACAGAGGGTTCATTGCAAGTTATGACTTTGTGATTTTCAATGGCTTTATGACAGTAACTAACCTTCTGAGTCTTGCTGTTTGCTTGTCTCAGTCACTCCACCTGTGTGGACATGTGCAGTTCTCACAATTGGCCTAAGAGTTCCAACTATTAGTTATCCTACTTTGGACATGAGGAAACTGAGGCTCATATTGGTAAAGTAACATGCCCAAGATCTTGCTGCCAGTAATAGATATTACCTGGCTTGGGACCTGGGCAATGAGATTTCAGGAGCCACAATTTCAATTGCCACACTGGACTTTCATTACAATGTCCTTTAAAAAATCATGAGAAAGTCCCGTCATTAGTAGAACATTAGGAGAAAAGAACAAAATGTCCAGCAGTGTCCTAGAATGGCCTTATTCCCATAGAGTTAGGAGTGGGGGGACAGATCTGAATGCCAACTAGAGGCATAGAATACATCGTAGTAGGAAACCCAGGAAAATGATTAGCATTTGTATCTTCTGGAGAAAGAAACAGGGGGACTGCATCTTAAGACTGAAAAAAAAAAAAGACTTTATTTTCACCATGCCTTGTTTTGAATTATTTGGATTTTTTTCTTTTATCATAGATATATGTTACCATTTCTAAAATACAAAGATCAGTTAAAACACACACACACACACACACAGAGAAAGAGAGAGAGAGAGAGAGAGAGAGAGGTATATGAATGTGAATCTCCTTGGGACTTTCCCATCTCTTCAGGTATTTGTCAGTATGACACAATATTTGATGAGCCTGCACTCACTATAAAACACCAGAATTCTTTACAACTGGCTTCATTTCACTCAAGACAGTGGACTATAGTTCAATAGCTTAGTGGCTTTTCCATGAAACAGTTTCATACTTGACAAAAGAGAGAGTAAGAGGCAGAGACCAAAATAAAGAAAGAAAATTAGTCAAAGTCTATTTTTATGGCTGTTTTGGATTGGACTTTTTAAAAATTTCTATTCTTAAATCAACACTCTCTATTATTTTGATAAGACTGCCTTATGAAATACCACAAACTCAATGGTTTACCCAACACTAGACTTTCATCTCACATTTCTGGAGAAATTTAAAACCAGAGTGACAATAGGATTGTTCCTTCTGAAGCCCATGAGGCTATCTCCTAAGTTTCTCTTTCTATAAGAGGACACCAGTCACATTGGGTTAAGGCTCCCTTTAATGTCCTCATTTTAACTAAATTAATACTTATCTCCAAATAATTTTGTATTCTGAAGTACTGGAGGTTAGGGTTTCAATATGTGAATCTTTAGGACATAATTCAACCCATAGCACGCTGCTTTAAGCCAACTCTCTGTTCCCTGCTTCAGCCTTGTTCTGATTGGGCTGAGAGCTTGGTCTCTGGCCTACCTATGATGGGAAGCATATTGGTAAGGAATCTTGAGAGGGAAGCCCAGTGAAGAAGTCATCCTTTGGTTTTCTGAGTGAAAGTGCTGTTTTCTTTTTTCTAGGTGGTATCATGGCAACCTCTCACGTCATGCAGCTGAGGCTCTTCTTCTCTCCAATGGATGGGATGGTAGCTACCTTCTGAGAGACAGCAATGAGCAGACTGGACTGTACTCTCTCTCCGTGAGGTAGGGTGCTTAAGGACTCTTGAGTTTGGCGTGGTCCCATCTGTCATTTGATGGCTTTCTTGTCACTCAAATTGCCAAATAACAAAATTCCCTGATTCCTTTTGGGCCACCAGGTGAGATTTCAAACTCTGAATGGTGAGACAATTGAAAAAAAAGAAAATCCTGCTTCATCTGGCAGGAAAAGGATGTCAGAGCTGGAGGAGACTTTGGAAATTATTTAATCTCAACCTCTCATGTGGCTGGTGAAGAACAAGAAACCCAAAATGGTGGAGTGTCTGGCATCCAAAAAACCAATGACAGAAAGAGCACCACAATCGAAATCCCTGAGTCCAGGCCTAGTGTCCTTTTCACTATTTCTTGCTTCCCCTGGAAAATCAGAATTTGTGACTATACAATGTCCATAGCCACAAACTCAAGTGGGCAATATGCAACTTTAAAATGTTTCCTACAAATGGGCTCACTTTCTTTCTTGAGGCTCCATTTTCCCCAAATGGTTCAGTCCTTTCAGGATGTCTCTTCCCCACCTTCTTCTTCCTGGCTGGCTTCCCAGATCAAAGAGGCTGACCCAGCTCATGGTAATCAGGAGGGGTGGCTGGTTCCCATCAGCCTCTACACTTGTTTCTGCTGACGTACAGCAAGTCCTTCTTGGGCTCTTGGGCGGGTTTCCATATCTCCATAGGTTAGACTAGAATGTGAGGTCCCCACAAATTTCCCTCATCCACTCACCCCTGATCTCAAACTGCCCAAGAGTTTGTGTGACTGTCTGATGGCAGCGCCATGCACCCTTGGAAGAAAGTCACAGGTTCCCTTCACAGTGAAGTCCTCCAAGCTAATCCAGCATGGGAAGGTTTTGTTTCTCTCCTGCTCTATCTACATGGCCCATGCCTCCTTGTTCCTAACTCAGTAGTAGTGTCTGTACTCACTTCTGCTGTTGAATCCTCCTTTGTGTCTAGTTCAGTCATAGCTCCTGTTTGTTCTTGTTTCTTGTGTTTAATCTCTCTCTCTAATAGGGGGACATGACTGGTCACAAAAATATTTCCCTAAATAACTAATGACAAGTTATTTATGCGCTTAAAAGCCCATGATTAACATATTTGCTTATCTGCTCTCTAGGCTTAAGGCTTCTGTATTTGTTTTCTATGCTACAAATGAATTTCCAAAATACTTAATGGCTTAAAACAAAATAAACGGATCTCTCACAATTCCCGTACTTTAGAAGTTCAGAAACAGTGTGGTGGGATTCTCCAGAAGTTCAGAGTCCTTTATAGCCAGGTAGCTATAAAGGTGTTGGATGAAGATGCGGCTCCTCGTTTCCTCCTTCCCTCCTTCTTTCTCATTCATGTCTTTGTTCCCATTTTCCTTTTAACTGTCAACCAGAGACCAATGTCAACTCCTCGAGGCTGCCACAGTTCCATGCCATATGGCCATCGTGGGCTGTTCACAGCAAGGTTATTGCTGTCTTCCAGTCCAGCCAAGGCACATCTCTCTGGTTTCTTCTTTTATGAACAGAGAAAATAATTCATTTTACAGAGATCATGAGATTAGTAAGGGTTACCCAGGTAATCTTCCCATCTTAAGGTCAACTACTTTGAGAACTTAATGACCTGCAAAGGTCCTTCGTAATCACATCTAGAGTAGCTTTTGATTGGATAAATTGGAACAAGATGTCTGTGTTCCAGGGGCTTGGCATTGAGGCCATCTTATCAGGCTTCCTGTCACAACTTTCATTCCCCAATAGTGAATCTGAGGTCTACTTGAAGAGGATGGGAGCATAGGCAGAGCACAACAGACTCATTAGAGAGTCAAACAGAAAAAAGCACGATCATTAATACTTCTCATGCCACCTTGTCACATTTTGCTTATAAATTTTCTAAATAACATGGATGGGAAAATTATGAAACCAAAAATGGAATTCCACTCAGGTGGCAGCAAGATTCTGATTGTCAACCACGTTAAAAGTTCATCAGATGGTTAGGCTGCTGATGCTTTATTGAATGGATCCTCCCCAAATCTCAAAACACATGTGGAATTATTGGATCAAAGAATATTAACGTTCCACTTATGTGTGTCTCATTTGAACAATGAAATCATAAGCTTCTTCTGCACAGATAGCATGTATATATTTCATCTTCATGAAAAATTACAAATAAATCACTGGGGGGAGACCCAGCGATCTTGGTTTTAACCTGCAGGTGATCACCTGCAGGTGATCCCAAGGTTTTAACCTGCAGGTAATCACCTGCAGGTGATCCCAAGGCACACTAAAGCTGGAGTGTGGGCATAGGCCCCATGGAGAGGAATAGTGGGAGATGAAGCTAGAAAGATAGAATTGGATCAATTAAAGTGGGGAGAGATATATATTACTTAATGTTCTACCTCATTTCAAAAATGAATTAGAAAATAAAAATGTAGGAAATTGGATATTTTACTCAATAGGCAATGAAACAGACAAGAAAAGAAAAGGGCTGGGCTCAAATAACTGAGTGACAGAAGCAGAATTCTGACTGATCCCAGACAAGGAAGAGAGGAAGACCAAAGACATAAAAGAAAGTGATGACAAGGTTAAGTGCCATTTCTATCATCTCTATTCCCTGCTCTTCTTAAACTCATGTCCCTTAGAGGATTAATTTTCAAAGCCTTTCAGTAAGACCTAGAGAGGTAGGGAGAAGTGTCTCTTGTCTTTCAGTAGAGTAAAAAGTGCCAAAAGCAATTAGTGATGGTCTTTAAAACTGGCAAAGATCTCAATGATTGCATTTTTAAGAACTGTATATTCAGTTATTAAAAAAGTTAACGGTGATGCTAATACCCAAGACTATGCTTGCCTTCAAAAAAGATATTCATTTGTTAAATAACATTAAGCACTTCTTTTTTCCTTTCAGAGCCAAAGACTCTGTCAAACACTTTCATGTTGAATATACTGGATATTCATTTAAATTCGGCTTTAATGAATACTCATCTTTAAAGGACTTTGTCAAGCATTTCGCAAATCAGCCTTTGATTGGAAGTGAGACAGGTAAGCTGTCTAAGTCCATTTTCTGTTGCTATAACTGAATGCCTGGGGCTGGATGATTTGTAAAAAAAAAAAAATGTTTAGTGTATGGTTCTAAAAATCTAAGAACATGGCGTCAATTTTGACTTGGCTCTAGTAACTTCATGCTAGGTCATGACACAGTAGAGAGCATCACATGGTGAGAGTCAGAGAGGCTGAGAGGCCTAGCCAAATCAGTTTTTATAAACAAACCTATTCTTGAGATAATCTATTAACCCATTAATTCATTAGTCCATTAATCATAAGAATGGGTTAATACATTCGTGAGGGCAGAATCCTAATCACCTTTTAAGAGATTCTATCTTGTCCCACCTCTTAATATCATAATGGGAGGCTGGGGATATAGCTCAATTGGTAGAGTGCTTGCCTTGCATGCATAAGGCCCTGGGTTCAATCCCCAGCACCACACACACACACACACACACACACACACACACAAATTCTTTCATATCATAATTAAATTTCAACGTAAGTTTCAGGGCAGACAAACCATATCCAAACCATAGCATAAATATTTGAAATATTATTTGAAGATGAAAAAGCAAACTATAGTACACACCATCCTGGTACTGGAATTATCCAACTTGTGTGTCTAGATTATTTAAAGAAGGTAAATAAAAGTCCACTTCTGTATCTGTGACATAGAATCACAATTTCATTGGCCTCAATGGTGATAAATCTCAGTTAAATCAAAGTCTGGGAAATTCCAAGAAGCTACAGCACAAGAGGAACTCTAAAGTTAATTAAGGCCTACTGCCATGAGCTTTTTAGTACTTGTTTTCTTGGTAAACTTGTCAGTGGGCTTTCTGCTGATTTCTGTGTGGGGGGAGATGATGCCATCATTAGCTTCTTCCTTTTCTGCTATTTATGTGGCCTGGAGAGACCCTGATATGAATCATACCGTGTCTAGTACACATGAAAACCACAATGGAAACCTCAAAATGGTTGCTTTGCTTTATACCAACATCACCAGGTTTATAATAAAACGTTCTCATCTGCAAAGTGGAAACTCTAATCTTCTTCTTCTTCTTCTTCTTTTTTTCCTGGTATAAATTCTCCCAGTTCACCCTGAAAGTTACTTCACCATTTAACCTGCAGTTATTCTCACAAATGGCAAGGAGGGCTGTTTATTACCTGCTTACCTTGAGCTTGGCAAGCATTTCAGTGTCTCCAAACTCTTCACTCCTCTTGTTTTAAACTGTTGTCCAAATCTACATTTGATTTTTTTTTTCTTTAGTCCTTGGTCACTGGGAATAGAGAGGAGATTTTTGAAGCTAGGGCTTTGTTAGGATTACCTCTAATTTTGTCCTTATCTCTGTCGGCCAGGTCCTGGTCCAATGCAGAGTGTTTGGGTGAATGAATAAACGAATGAGTGGATGATTGTGAGTGGGAACTCCACAGCTTTCAAAGCCAATGGTATTTTTCTGCCTTCTCTTCTTTCTAAGCAAAGTCAGCTCCCTTTTTTAAACTCTGTCTTTATGCTCTATTTTCAATTCCTTTCATCATTCTATCTGTTCCTTCCTGGACCTTCTCCCAATCAGTAGGAAAAGTCCATATTCTGCATGCTGGCAGATTTCAAAGCAGTTTGAGATCAAAGTGAATGCAGTGCATTCTGGTTAGACCTTTCAGACACTGCTGCAGTCACCAGGCAAGAAGATCACCTGAGCCTGCTCCAAAGCAAAGGCACCTTGTCCCTGCATTGGGGACAACGTTCAGCTTCCCTGTAAATACATTATTCTGACTAAAGAAGCCTTGTGACTAATGCATTAGGGATTGTAATGATTTATAATCCTGGCTCCTAGAGTAGATTCTATAAAATCTGCTGTACATTATTATTACTAGAGTTACTATTTTTTTTATTACAGTAAAACTCAGAAAACTATGATTGTTACCCTCTCCTTGCCTTTCCTCTGTTGTATTCATTATCCAGTGAAGAATTTGCTATTTGAACCCTTGCTTCAGGCCCCTTGTGTTGATGGATATGTACTCACTCCCTGGCTTCAAGCCCTTAAGTTAGATTCGGCTAATTCTATTCCCCTTATCTGTCCCAGCCAGATGAAGGCCAAGCCACCGAAGCTGGAAACCAGAGGCCAAACCCATGACAGAGGAGTGTTCCAATCTTTCCCCTCTGAGAATAATAGGCCTCAGGAAACAAGATAACGTGCTGAAGTCACCATGAGTCTTAAGCCCAGCAGGTCCTCAGAAGTCACAGAGTCACTACTGTGGCCTACGAAAAGTGGTGGATGGAAACTAGGATGCCACCTTCTAAAAATAGGCCTTTTCTTACTCATTTAAGAATTGGCTTCCGGCATTGGCTCCCTGTGATCAGGAGACACCAAGCTGAGGATTTCTTGTGTTCCCATCACACAAAGTACAAATCCTTAGGGCTGGGAATGTAGCTCAGTTTTGGAGTGCTTGTCTAGCACGCCTGAGACCCTGGACTTAATCAATCCCCAGCACTGGAGAAAGAAAAAGAAGAGAAGAGCAAACTCTCAAATCCTTTATGTTAGATTCAGATCTTCAGGGAACACATTTGTCCACACAATGAACAAGGCCCTGGCAGGGCTTTCACATTCAGATTCCCAGAATGAGTAGGACTAAGATCTGATGTGGCCAGCCACTACTGTCAGCCAGTCCCAGACCCAGTCTCACGCTGCAGGGCCTAGAGAGTGAGTTTATTAAGGTGAACTTTTGTCCACTGGCATTACCTCTGAAGGCAAGAGAGGGAGTGTCCAAATAACCAAAGGCTTACATTTTTTTCTGAGTTATATGCCATATCTTCAGCAGATTGAAACCAAAGGTACTTGACTGTGTCTTAAGAAAATCTTTACCCTCAAGGTATATGAAAGTGTGGACCTAAAAAGGTGAATGTTATTTTAAAATATTTTTTTCTTCTTCTACTGCTATTCACTACTCTTTAAACTCTCTGGGTATGTTTCCTAATCTAAAGAACAAGGGATTCCTATACAAGATCGGAGGGACCTGTGTCAGTTTTCTTTAAAAAAAATATATATATATATTTTTTTTAATTATGGACGGACACAATAACTTTATTTTATTTTATGTGGTGCTGAGGATCGAACCCAGTGTCAGTTTTAAGAATTCCATTATTGCTGGGCGTGGTACTGGGGAAAGCCTGTAATCCCAGCAACTTGAGAGGCTGAAGCAGGAGCAAAATTCAAGGCCAGCCTCAGCAATTTATCGAGGCCCAAAGCAACTTTGTGAGACTCTGTCTCAAAATGTAAAAAAAATAAAAATAAAAGTAACTGGGGTTGTGACACAGTGGTTAAGCACCCCTGAGTTAAATCCTCCGTAAAAAAAAAAAAAAGATTTTTTTTGTTATTGTAATTTCCCCTTTCCCTTGTTATAATCTGCATTTAATCTTTCTACTCTCCATTGAAGTTTAAGTTCACTCTAATTTCTCCTACGAAGACCCATAAACATTGTCATGATACATCCGATTCTCAAAACCCAATAATTTCCCAAATACATAGCAGAGATAATGCAATGTACTCACTTACTATGATCTGCCAATGGCCCTTTTATCTTCCAACATATTTTGCAATTCATTTTTTAAAATATCTTACTTTTTGCATTAGTATGTAAGCTCTACGAGGAGAGGGATTTTTTTTTAATCATGAATGCTTCCTGATGTAGCCCAGACTGGCAGGAATCTCTACTCATCATTCCCACAGTAGGTCACATTGAGCACCATTCTCAATGCATAACAGTTTGCCTGGTGACACCGTAACTAGCAAATGCCTGACAATTTTAACTTCCAAAGTTGATACAAAGCATAATTTGAAAGGGTGTTTTGTGTTGTATATATATTCAATAATGATAAAATTCAGAATTTGTCTTTCATTTGTAATAGCAGGATATTGTGTAAAACATATTCATATTTGTCCATAACTTCCACCTCAACTCAATAGCCTCTGATATTTGAGAAATATTTTATTATTTAAATATCTTTGATCTGTTACTAATGTTCACTGTATCTTCTTGTAATTAGCCAAATTTCATGTATATATTCTTAAGAATACAGACAGCGCTTACCTTTCTACTTAAAAGTCTAAATATTATTAGAAAAAAATTGGCTTTCATTCATACATTCAATACTTTTTATGTGATGTGGTCATGTACAATTTATTACAGTGCGTGGTGACTTTAATCATGAAATCCACGTGAAAAACACAGTCAAGTGCTGTGTTTGTGCTTACCACTTATTTATGTATTTGTGTATTTTTGTATTCATTTTGTGCTTACTCTTTATAATACTTGGTTCTTGGTTTTAAAGATCCTATCTTGTTCTTTTGAAAATGTCAAATTTCCACTTCACTTTTTTGTTTTGATATGGGGATCCCCAACCTTTTGATTACAGCCACAGCTATTCTTATTCTGTGAGATCAGCCATCTTACCCAAGTGGCATTTTAAAATAATGAAGTCAAAATTAAATTTAATTAAAATATTGCATGATACTTCTGAAAATAACTAAATTTACAGGATTTTAGAATAGGAAGGGAGTTTGGAACCATTTGATTTCTCTTTTACAAAGGAAACTGAGGCCTGATGGAAATGTTAAAGCAAAACCTCACATCTCCTTCCTCAAGCTGCCTCCTAAAAAATCTATTGTTTTTAATCTTTGACTTATACGTGGGAATTCTTGACCACAACACAGTATACCATTTATCATACCATAAAGATTTCATGCTGACTGCACCTGAACTGAGAATAATTATGGCATAATAAGTGAACACATGAATTCCCAGTTCAACTCCCGCCTCTGCTACTTGCCAACTATGTGTCCCCAAGCAAGTTACATAACCTCTCTGACCTTTGGTTGTCATCACCTTATAAAATTGAGCTGATGGTACCAGGTGTGATAGTGCACACCTATAATCCCAGCCACTCAGGAGGCTGAGGCAGGAGGATCACAAGATCAAGGCCAGCTCAGCAATTTAGT